CGAATTCACATCGGATATTAGTACTTTTACGGAAACATTACCTAACGTCATCGGTGGAAAAATTCTACGGTGATCGGTGAAGACGACAGAGCTTGCTAGCTCCCTATTAAGTGAATTGTACCTACATTAACTCGAAATTAATTCGCTCATCGTGAACCCTCGATAAGGCATCAAGAAAGTTCCAGACTAGAAAGAAGACTCGATATCGTTTGTAAGTTTGTAAAACTTTTGCATATAAATCATTGTTTGTAATAACTATTTGTAATAGCCGTTATTGTAAATTGTATTATTATTTGTATATTAAAACATATTTGTATTTAAAAAAAGAAAGCTTTGTGTATCAATTTTGTTGGCAAATATCATAAACTGGATATATATCGGCATTTATTTAACTACTAAATCTAAATTACAATTTAACTCAGTTTTAGGCTATTTGAAAATCTAATACGTAACAAGAGATATATATATTAGATATTATAGTATTGGTTTCTTTGCGAGTGTATTCATTAGTATTCAATATAGTGTATTTTCGTTTTCTATTGGTTCAATAACAGAAATAGTGTTGGACATAAACTTTTGGGACTACATAGTTTCTGGGTACACTGTTGAATATCCTCGTGTCGACAGAACCACATTATATTTACCAATAAATATATTTGCTAATATGGCAATATCGGAATGGAGTATAGTGTTGAAATTCGTGTATGTTAAAAGATTGGTACTGGATATAGTGTTCAATCTCTTTATATGAGGAAATATTCTTATTTCTGTAACTGTTTTTTGTTAGACATAAGCCTTCCGTTTAGTTTGTTTGTTTAAATTACTATTTAGAAATTCAATATATGAAATTCACATTGTATATGAGATCGTTATAATGAAACGTAAAGACCGTGATTTTAAAATATCCTTTCCTGTACCTTGGTGACCCAAGTTACAATAAATTTCATCTTTACTTATCGTCTGCTATCAAATATACAAGGATCGTCTATCTCACAAGTAAGTTAGGCAGTCGTTTAGCTATGTGTGTTTCTTTTGTGTTACAACAAGAAATTACGTTTTTTCAACCATTACCACCTGACAGCATTAGGTCTGAAATCACACTACAATTTGCTGAATTCGGCTGTTAACGACATATCTTTAGAAATTAGATTAATATGTGTTAGCCTTAGGGTTATCTTTAATGTTTCCACACTCTTACGTCTTCTTTTCTGCGTATGTATGATGTATGTGTATACAAGTATCTTTTACCTTACAACAGTTATTATTGGATAAGCGTCATGATAAACCACAATAAGATTTTAGTTGCTCCAGCTCTCGGGTTAACCAGCAAGAGCCAAATCAAATCAAAAACATCAGATCAAACCACAAAAACAAAACATCAGATCCAACACAGGTTTCCATAGAAAAGTTCTGAAACAGCTATTTGTGGGATAATACTCATAGACTTATATTAGAACAACGTTTCACGTCCAACAGTGAGACATGATCATTTATAGCGTTACAAGTGTTATGAAGTTGCAAGTGAGGCATACCACACACTAAATTCAGAGATTGCGAACTTATGTGTTTCACTGTTAGAGAGGAAACGTTGTACATAAATAAATATATTTGTACCTCTTAAAAAGAATGTGGTTTACATACTGCTATGGTGCGTTAAAATATATATTTGAGTTTATTATAATGAGAGTTTATAATAATTTATCATACATTTATAACGTGAAAGGGGGAAATATATGCAAGGATGTTTCAATTATTTGCAATCACATCAGGTCAATATGACCCGAAACATAACGTAATAGGAGGGTTAATTTTTGTTAGAGAAACATTCTAACTAGACTGGTTGTAGTGTACGACAATGGAAATATTTATTTTGTTCTCATGGTAAAGTTACGACTGTTTGAGCCTTATCTTAATGCGGTATCGATTTTTCTTTTTACCGGCATTAGCATCGTTTTTTATCTTATAGGTAGATGTGCCGTCTTTGCCTGAAAAGTCTGGGGGTTAGATGTGTTATGAAATTGCAAGTGACGCAATCGTTATCAATATTTACATTGTTACATACTGGAATTTCAAATGGTCTGAAATTGAGTTAACTGATAATTTAAATTTAGTGGTTAAATTGTACTTTGGATTTAGTATTTAAATAAATGTCGATATATAGTCAGTTTGTAACATCTGCCAACACGATTGATACACATAATTTTCTTTTTTAACACAAATACGTTTTAATATACACACAACACTACAATCTACAATAACGGTTATTACAAATAGTTATTACAAACAATGATTTATAAACAAAAGTTTCACAAACTTACAAGCAATATAAAGTCTTCTTTCTAGTCTGGAACTTCCTTAATATCTCATCGAGGGTTCACGATGAGGGAGTTAATTTCGAGTTGACGTAGGCACAATTCACTTAATTAACAGGAAGCTTGCTAGCCTTGTAGACTTCACTGTTCATACGCCTATTAGAGATTGAGTTTCCACCGATGACGTTAGGTAATGTTTTCGTAAAAGTATTAATGTCCGATGTGAATCCATTGAAGTTAAATGGTTTGTAATGTTCGAAGTTTATAAATGTCCCTGGTCAAATATCTGAAGTGTACCGATTAATAAGCGTTATAACAATCACAGTTATAGCTTCCGAAGTTTAGCCCACTGATTATAGCAAACTAATAATAGATACTCTCTTTAGGCGCGTCGCA